CTTTCCTGCTTCCAGACATCATTACTGCACAGGTAATTACTGCTGTAGTACAGCGTTGTGGGGTGTTTGCTTCATTCAGAGTTTGTTACGTCTTTGGAGCTTACGGGCAGGAATAGGGATAGAGAGGGTTTCTTTTTCCCAACTGCAGTTACAGTAATTACTAGACCTGCCCTTCCTAGACATGCATCCCGATACTCTTCGTCCCATAAGGGGGAGGACGTAACCTCAGAAATCAGTAATTAGGTTTTATTATTAACATCATCATCATTGTCATTATTATTATCATTTATAGCCCACTCTGAGGGGGCCAAAGCACCTGCTGCTTCATTAGGGGTTTCAGGAGTGCTCAAGACTGAGGTTCCCTACGGCTGATAATTACATATTGGGAACCTGGGATATGACTGCAAAGATGAGCAGCGTAAGGCCTTTATAAGAAAAAGGTTTAACTTACCTTACCTTCTCTTCCAAAAGAGAAAGGAGTTGCTTTTTCTCCTTTCTCTGACTGAGCTGGGCAAGGTGCTGTCTGCCTTTTAGCAGCTGTGAACTAACCCTCACGTTGGCTTTTAGGCCCGAAATGTAGCAGCTCCAGCGCAACCACGAGTTACCAACACCAGCGGTAAGGCATACGGCCCCAGTGTACACACAGTGAAAGAAAGGAGACTTCTTGGGTCAAGCAACCACTTGATGCTAGGTACCATTTGTAAATTAAGTGTTTTTCTTTTTTATTTAAATTGATTGCTGGAAAGCATTTTTATCGTGATGTGATGCATAATGACTTTTTTTTTTTTTTTACAATATAAAGAAGCTAATGTACCACCAAGCTATTTTGTAAGAAAGACGGTAGCACGTGCAACGTTTAAACAAAAAAAAAAAAGGGGGGGGGGAGAGAGAGAGAAAAGTACCACATGTGATTGTTGTTCACAACTGTACAAGTCACAGGAGGTCACCCCCAGGAGTTACCATCTCATTCACAGTAGTAAAAACTCTACCCATTGTTTTTAGCCTGAAACCCCCAGCATCCCTCCCCCTCCTCTGGGAACGCACAGGTATCTGTCTCATGGTCCACAGCAGGCCAGAATGTGCAACTACATCCACCTCTGTAACAAGGCTTTAAAAAGAACAAAACCAACCCTACGAACAGAAAAACCCACCCCAAATGCGTAAATGAGTCTGTTGTACACGTGAAGGAGGGAGGGGGCCACACTGGAGTGAGGCCTGTGACCCTTCATCCCACCAAAGCACACACTTTTTTCTTCTTCTCTGCAAAACAAATCATCTAGTAAAAAAAGAAAAACCAAACCCACAACCTCTGCAGGGCTGGAGCACAGGCAGAGTCCATTCTCTGTGTGCGCTGAAAGGGACAACGTGCCAGGGAAGGGGGCAGCCCCTAGCCTGTGAGGAGCCGCCTGTGCCGTACCATCCACACTGAAGTAAACATGGACCGGAACTTGCCTTTTTTTTTTTTTCTTTTTTTTTCTTTTTGTCTGTCTTTGGTATTGTTTTAAAAGTTGCTAGAGATGCATAGACACCTGAAGGAGGAACTGAGTACAGTTTCCAGGGAGGAGGAGATATTTGGGAAGGTGGTTGGTTTCATTTTTGATGGGTTTTTTTGCTCAGGGGTGCTGAGTACCATTGGGAGGAGCAGTGCCCGTTCCTCTTCCCTGCCTGGAGTCACACCCAGAAGTTCCTGAAAGCCATGTTTCTTTGAAGGCAAAGAAAAGCGTTCGTTCCCTGTCCGTGGCTCTCCATCTCAGACTGGTGAGCGAGAAGGGGTGTGAAAGGGAAAGGGAATGCTGCTGCCATCCTCTAGAATCATTTTCTCTCTCTTCACTTGCGTTGTCTCAGTACATCTTTGGATAGGTTTCTTTCCTTCCCTTTTTACAGTATTTAAAACTTCTGTGTGGGGGTGGTTTGTTTTGTTTGTTTGTTTTTTTTAACAAAAAGCAAATGCATCCAAAAAAATTAAAAACCTCCCTTCCTCACTCCTGTGTCTCACACTGCTGAGGGAGGCTCTCCTGGGCTCTCAAAATGCATTACCTTCAGTTTGTTCAACTGACTCTCAGTTCCAGAAGCAGTCAAGAGCTGTCCTGCAGTTAAGATGGAGGTTTCGTGGTGTCATTGATCCCAGCAATGATGGAGGGGTTTCCGTTTTCCTGCTTTGGTGAGACGCGGCTGGCAGAGGGCAGGCCACTGCTGAAAGGGGAGGCCACGCTGCCTGTGGAGGATGGCCGGAGATCAGCCGGGGGCAGGTCCCGCTCTGGTGGCCGTAAGCCAGGAGGCTGCAGTGGGAAAGCCATGGGGAAGCCTGCCATGTACAGAACTCTGCCCACTCTCTTGGCGACCTATTTTAAAAAAAAAAAAAAAGGAGGAAATAAATGCAGGGGGGCAAAAAAAGGGATGAGAATGTGCACAAACTGTCTTCAGAAATCCACAGAAGCTGCATTTTCATGCAGCAAGCCCAGGTTCTGTGCTCCAAAGTGAACTGCTAATAGAAGAGCTACCCTTCCCAATCCACATACACACACACACACACACACAAAAAAAAAAAAAGCCCTTGGTGACCTACCAGAGATGACCAGGGAAGGTTTTCTCCTCTCTCCTTTTTTCTGAAGGGTTCATGTCCTGCAGCCGTGCTCCCTAGCTCTGTTACACTGGGCACTTTGGGTGTGGCACCGAAGTACAGCTGGAGCTGCAAGGTCTACCCTAGGTCACGTCTCAGGCTAAAGATGTGCTGGCACGTGTCGTGCAGGCCCTTTTCCTGTGATGTGTTTTGCGTGCATCTGTGTTCTTTGGCCCGAACAAGACTGAAGGCCTTGCTGAGGCGCGGGCTGAGAGGACGCGTGCAACCCAAAGCTGAACCAAGTCCAGCCTCTGATCTGAAATAATCAGGTCCCACTGTCTCATCAGGGGACTATGGAAACTTGGAGCCTGTTTACCTGGCTAGCTAAGGCTGCGTGGACAACTACGATAGTGCTCTTCATCTTTCATGGACCCCAGCTCATCCCCTTCATGAGTGAAAGAGCGTGGTGGTAAGCAGCCGTTCCTCAGTCACCTCTGCTACACGAGGCCTTGGCGACATGCCTGTCTGTAGCTGCCTTCAGGTGAAGGGGTATCGGGTGAAGAGGGCTGACGGATTCCTGCCACTGATTTCATTAATAGGCGCCACTGGATGGACAATTTGATAGAACTCTTCTGCTTTCCTTTTGCTAACCCAGCCCAGGGTACTGTACAGCAGGACGGTACGCGATGTCCGCGTCTGAAGAGCAGGAATTGCTCTTACGGGGGCCGGGCTGACAGCGTGAGGGAGAAAAAAAAAATCTGGCTTCAGGGTGGCTGCTGTTAACTGCACAGGAAACTATAAGCCTGCAGCCTCTCCCTTCTTCTGCAGTACCGAAGAAAACTCTCCTGAAGCAGTTCTCGCCTCCCAGCAAGGGCCAAAGGCCCCACAACTTTCCAGCACCTACACAGCTGTTTCACATTTAAGCTTAAACAAAAACACAGGCTTGTGTTCAAACTAGACAACTGCGGCATTATTCAGTTAGCAACATCAGGACTTTGCTCCCCACTTCCCCCCCCCCCCCCAAGCATGCCTTATTATAGAACTTTAAACACTATTGATTAAATTGAAGCAGGGTTTTTCTAGTTTCAGCCCATATCTCATATTCTCCCCACCAAATCCGATCTAAGAATGTCTGTGAGCTATTTGGCGTTCTCTGTTTTTAAGAAACATAAGAGTTTTATTTCCTACTGAATTGACCCACGGGGAACAATTGCCCACAGAACCTTTTTA